AAAGGAAGACACCTCAGCTTTACTCACCTTTGATTGACAGCAGCACCGTGGCACCTGTCCAATGACGGAGCGTCTAACAAGAAATCCCGCCTTCAAAGCGTTCCTTAAGAATAAAAACGGCTTTCCGTTTTATAGTGCAAAAAGTCATCAAAACAAAGCTTTTGCACACGAGAAACACGTACTGAATATAAATTCACAGTTTTAAACCATAGTTTTAAAACACCGCGTTTCAAAACTCGACAAGCGATAGTTTCTCACTCTGCCAGCGACAACAGCTTCTTTTAAGCTGACAGGTGAACCGGAAGTACCGTGTGTCACCTTAAACTCCGTCTGTCTTAGCGGCTCGGAGTTAAAAACTGCTCAAAAACGGCGTTTAAACTCACCCAAAATTCTCTGAAGCGGTTCAAACGACAGGTCGCAGTTTAATCGGTCGCTCAAGGCGCCGAAACGGCTTTTTAGCCGTGAATCGAGACGCACCGTCCGGTTTATCCGACCCGGAAGTGGTTGGAGCTAACTTTGTTAGCCTGTGTTACACTCAAACTCCCCCCGTAATCCGTTAAACACTATACGAGTGCCTAAAACTCACAAATGTTAGCGGAATTATGAAAATAAGATGAAAACTGCGTTCACAGATTAGATCTTAAGGATAAAATAGCGTTCGCTATTTATTAGAGCGGAGTATATATTTCCCTTTTCAGGAAGTGACGTCATTACCTTTATAAACCGTGAAATGCTTATTTTTTTTAAGCAGCAGCAATGTTACAGCCTTATTACGACTCAAAATGACAGAATAACAACAAAATCTGCAGCTTTTGCAATAATCTGAACACCTCAGTCATTAGGGTCTTATAGCATCATTGTTTTTGCCAACATGATAAAGTAATAATTTTTTACTACTTCAAAATGCACAGAGATATCTTTTCATAAGAAAAATATGTAAATAGAGTTCACCATTCAGGAATCCTGTATGGGAATCGTACGTGCCACCATTGTGTAGGAATGAGTTACTTATGCAAATAAGCTCACCTTACATCTTCTCATAACAAGTTATGAGAGTAAATTTTACCAAGGTTTTCCTCATTACTCTAATATTTGTCTGTGCAAAGTGAAGTGACACAAT